GCACTGAAATCCAAAACCTACTGGGCCTGCTGTGCTTGTGGTGTAACTTAATAGAGCTTCCAGGTGAAATGGGATGCCACAACAGCTAAGTTATTTAGAGTTAAGGATGAAATACAGCTGAAGCTGAATTGCACCAAGGCAAATCTTAGTTCTTCAACAATCTTAAAAGTAACAATGTACAAACTTTATCTTCAAGTTGCTCTTCAGGATATCTCAAGCCATAACCTCTCAGATCTGTTGAGAAGCTTCCCTGACTGGCAAGTTTCTACATCAAATTTTGCAGTACAGAAACTCTTCCCTTGAAAGTACCCGTCCTGGTTAAATACAAACACAGGGAAAGCATCAAGTGGGTTCCTCTAACTGATGTTTCAAGGTGCTTTCTAGACACAAAGAATTACTCCTGTGGAGGAATGAGAAGGAAGCTACATTTTGGACTGTGCAGGCTGCAAACAGGCTATGAATATGCCCAGATCCTATGCCAAGTGTGCAAGGCAGACAGTATTCCAGATCAGTGAACAGCTTGCACAAGAGTTTACAAAACACAATGGTGTCCCATTCTGCAGGAAACAAACACATCCATCAGCTTGTGGTTCTACCAGGTCACTAACTCTCAGAGGCAAGAGTGTTACCAGAAAGATTATGTGCTCCCAAGAGATAAAATGAGTCGCTTTCTTCTGAGCTACTGTTTTTTGGAACAACATATGCAAACAATATTTTACTGCAATTACCAAATGCAATACAGCATGTATTTAGTAGCAGCACCAATGTGCATTGCTTACCTGCACTTTGGGAGGACTGAATTCAAGGTTGTAGACTCTGCCACTGGCAGGGTGGATCCAACGTGCTGTGAGTCGACACTTTATGGTCTCAAATGGCACATCTAGGTCAATCACAGTGTCTATCTGACATTCTCTATCCAGGGCTTCTGCCTGAGCAACTGTTCTGGGGAAGCCTTTTTAAAGGAAACAACTCCATAAAAATTCAAAAGCAAAGTTATAGCAAAAATCACCCAGTATCAGTCATTAGAGAAAGTAATTGTCAGACAGAAAAAAGAAGCAGCGTTGTCATACCACAAGGGTTGAAGAGACATTAGATTTTCTAAATATTTTTCAGTGTGTCATGGCATTTTAACTTGTGACCTCCCTCCCAGCTTTCATCTGCTCATTTCATTTAATTATCATCCCAAACATATAACAAATAACTACAAGAAGACCCCATGCTCATATGTACCACATACCACTATATCGCATAAAAGCACTGTATACACATCTGGAACAATAAAAGCTCCAGTGAAAAGCTTCACTCACAAGCCTGGAACAACCTAGAAACATTTGTGACATCTCTTACTTCCATAGTTGTGTTACTCTGGCTTAAGGCAGTGACCATTACAGACCTGTGTTACTCAGTTGCAGTAAGCCAAATACATTTACCAGAGGAGTCCAGGATTAATTTTATGTAAAAGAGTAGCTTTGAAAGGCATTCTAGAGGTTCTAGTGTATCAAACTGTCCTTGGGTATGATGACTCTGAGAACCCCCAGGCTGAACAGGAAGCTGTCTCTTCTTTTAAAAGATGTTGCATTGTGCCCCATGAACTCTGTGGTTCCCTACTCTATGCCTTCAACTATTAGAGAAATACAGTGGAACTGAAGAAGGGCTGCAGTGGGAAACAAAGAACAAGAAAGTCAAGGTCTTCACAAAGAGTCTAAAGATAAAAATTGAGCACAAGAACTTCAGTGGTCAAAGCTACTGTAGAACATGCTATTGTACCACAGATCAACTGGAACAATGTCCCTACTTTCAAAACTCCTTCATAGTTTCATTTTCTTCAGTAGCTTTAATTTTCACCATACTATACAAGTAAACTTCTCCAAAAATGCAAGCACCAATAGGTACAAACTTAAGAAATTGTTCTTCCATGACACTGGTTGATGAGTCCATTTTCTGAATAAGAGACCAGCAAAGAACTAGCCTTACAACAGGAAAAAATACAAACAAAAAAAAAAGGTCTTAAGTCTACTGTGTCTTGTCTAAAACACTAGAAAAGGAAAGAGTTGATTAACTTGGACCAAGCTCTTCCTTGTGCATTGAGTCTCATGCACCTGGTTTGCATCACAGTCATCAGCTGCCCTAATCCTGTTTCTCACATGTTGACATTATCTCATGGAAGTGCTTCTAAATTAAATTCTAAGTTAAGAGCAGAGGGAGAGCCAGGACTTCAGCACTGCTATTCGTTCTTATTATTGGCAAGCTAGTCCGCCACCACACATCTAGGTAATGTGACTGTAAAATGAGTTTGCTTTGGGAGTCAGTAGTGAGAAACTTACTGAACAAATTAAAAGTGCCTTTACAGAAGCATTTCATTGAAACTGAATGAGTGTTTGCTGCACAGTGTTTTCTCAATATAGAAAAAAATCTACAAGATGTGATGAATTATGAAGAATCCGGGAACATAGAGGAAAATGCCCTAAATTATACAACACTTAAGTCTGAGCAGATTATACCCACAGACACATAGGACTCAAATTGCTACATCTTGCTATGAGTCTAGAAGCCACCGACCTATCGCAAGACAGTGAATCAGTATTTGGCCAAGTGAGCATACAAGCAGTTCAGCAACTCTAGTCTGGGCTGGCTGATCTCAGCTGTTTGTTCTGCATTGCAGTTATCAGACTAAAGACTTTAGGGTTAACATATTTCAACAGAACAGTGTTGTTCCTACAGAGCCCATTATGCCAGAGCTATCCCTAGTGTAATTCGCTGGCTCTCATTACAAATGCTGATGCAGACAAAATTTCTGCTCCAAAAGTTTAAAGCACGTTAATATGCAGCAGAAACCAATTTGTTCTTTTATGGTTTCCACACAGTCCTCCTGGTAAGAGCTGCCAGTGTATGCAGCTAATCTGCTACACGTCCAGATCCATGAGGCTGGAAGTGTATGCACACAGGACTTGGAATTAAAGGGGAAAAAAATACCCCAAAACGTGCAGCTCTTTGCCTTATTAATTAGGTTTCATTGCGCTGTTCATGGGGAATGAAGCCTTTGTCTCAAGGAGGAACATAACTGTGACTAAAGCCACCAGATCACTGTACTTAGAAGCAATTTTAATAGAGCACTAAGGGCCAGAGAGCATTGTGGATATTTCATTCCCTCTAAATAAAATGCCACACAAATAAATGTTTAGCTTTAGCTACTGAAGCAGGTTGTGAGTCCAAAAATGCATACATCTAGCCTAGACACTATCTTTGTGCTGCTCATCCAACTGTATTTCCATGAGCTGGAACAACAAGAGCCATCCAATTCATGAAGACAGTGGCAAATGCATTGTCTTTCTACTGTGAATGCTGAAGCAATGAGCTTACACTGCAGAACTGCAAATAGTTCACTCTAGAGAACACAGCCAAACAGAAAACGAAAGAGACCTTTTAGAGCAGTTAAGCAGTGGCTTTGTTAGTGATTTATTACACACTGCACTGCTACAGTACTTTTCCATACTTACCTAATTACTGCATCACATGCCTGCCTTTCTATTTAAACTCCTCAGCCCCATTCTTCAAAAATTTTCCATTTCCCAAGGACTTTAACAAGAAAAGGCTTTAAAAAAAAGAAACTTCTCAATGCCTATTTTAAACGGGATACATAATAAAAACTACCAGAACTGCCAGTTTCGGAAGAACCGCCCTTTTCAATGTGAATTAAATACCCCTGTCACGTTCTGAAGGTAGGATGCACTGAAAGCAATTTTCAGCCAGAGAAACTGGGGCAGACTACCTGCTGGAAGTTTTACAACAAGCTGGCACCAAATATTGTCCAGTTACTATGACTTGAGATTGGCTGCTGAAGTGTACCTAACCACAAGCGACCAAAGCACTCCAAGCTTTCCATAGCAGATTTTCTCTCCACATATAGCGATATCCAATACGCTAACTTACCATCCAACAGCCAGTTGTACTGATCTAGACCTTTTAGCTCGTTCAGCATTAGTTGTGTCATGACGTCATCTGGAATAAGCCGCCCTTGATCAATGTAGGACTTGGCAAGGATTCCAATTTCTGCAAAAGTGAGAGAAGCCACATTACACTATCTCTGACCTCCAGCAAGCGAAAAAAACCCCACAAGTCTGCAAAGAATTTGTTTTGAACAGGGTGGTGCAGAAAAGTTGTAAACAAGACAGAGAGTATGCTTGCTAAAATAAAAAAAAAAACAAACAGATGATCACCTAGGATCTGACCACACAAATATGTACCAGATGAATGTGATCAGTCTGTAGTTTCACGAATGGCAACAAGACAGGGCACACCTCTGTCCTCACACCTTCTGAATAAGTTTGTTAGTAAGTGTAATATTAAGTTCCAAAAACTAAAATCAGGAGAGACCATTAAGTAAAAGAGTCTTCAAAATAAGAAATATAAAGGATACAAGTTTATTAAGATAACAGCCCTCAGATTTCCTGTAGAATAAAAATTATTTTCTCAGTTTAAAGGCAAAATAGTAGCTTACTCTTGGACTTCACTACAAAAAGAAATGTCTTTGGCATTTGAAGGAGCAGTATGCACACTTGCTGGATATGTATTTTTATGATTACTAAAGTTACAAGAGGATGTTTATAGATGTTGTAAACTATTTATGGGAGCATGCAGACACTAGTATTTTCCCACGGAACTGACTAACCTTTAACACCAGTCATTTAGCTCACTGGCTCACTAAAATTCCATTCAGTCATCACAGTTCCAGATATCACACCATACTCCTACATGACAGGCAGTAGCAAACTGTTCTTCACCCAAATCATAGGGATAGCCAGGAAGAAATTCAGTGGCCTGGGCTGCATCCTAGGCACATCTCCGCAGCATTCATTTATGAAACAATTACCCAATTACGTTGTCACCCAGAATAGCAGTGAGACTGGTTTTATTATGGATCTGCAGAAGCCTTTACTTGCAGCCAATTCAGATCTAGTTACACAAAACTAAACAGAAGAGAAAATGGGATGGACTGACACGCCAACACAAGATATAACCACTTTCAGCAGAAAGCAATGAAAAATGCAGGTCCTATCACTCAATGCCTGGAATGTGCAATAGCAGAGAGGCCCTTCTTCAGATAGGGCAACTGAAAAGCAATAGATACCCTCAAGTAATGCAAGCAACAGCTTTGGTGGTGCACAAAAACTAGCAATAAGACAATTCCCCTTATTTGGTGTTCACATCTATAGTCAGGCTTTGAAAAAAGTATGAAGATCATTTAGAAACTGGCATTATGCACCTTGGCCAGACTTCAAATAATCCTCACATTGTGGAAAAGAGTCAGACACTGATGCATGAGTCTTCCAGCACACCACAAACTGGAGAGAAAGTCACAGTCTGCCTGGCTACAAAGTGTGTCTTCTTTTCCCTACCTCCCTTTTCCGAGCCCCTCTTGGTAGTCTAGAGCACTTTGAACTATGTACCCTGCAAGAGTAGCCTGGGAGGAAGACTGAACCACATCTAAATAGTTTGACTCTGCCATTGATTTACATTGTAGTGTTGCTGTAGCCACAATGATCTAAAAAACACGTGCAGGGCAAGGTTCAGAGAAGGGTTCTAACATACTTTCGAAATACTGATGAGGTTTTGGACCCAGAGGGGTTTAGAGTATAGCAAGCTGGAATGTCCTATTATTAAACCAACAGCACTGGAAACATGCTGCCTCTTGCCTCCACAGAACTCATGTCATTAGAAAGTCACTATTACAGATGGAAAAAGAATAGGCACAACTGTACCCAAATAGTTCTACATTAGGTCAAAAAGTTTGTAGTCATCCCCATGATGACTAGCTTCCCCCTCCCTCTTCCCACTGCTGTTGGGAGTGGGATTTCATTAGGTTTTGTTGGTTTTATTTAGTTCCTTTTTTTTTTTTCCAGCTTGGGTCTGAAACCACTACAAGCATGGCAATCTTTGGAACTAAAGGCAACACAGGTTTCTTTCCTGTCCAGGTGATAACAGGTATCCATATCTCATGGTTCTACAAAAGATTATCATGTCCTAAGCACATTAAAGCACATAAACTCTAGCCACAATCAGACAATAGCTTCCTTAGCACTAGAGAGGTGGTCACAGACTCTCCACTCACCAAAGCAGAAGAATGTGCAAATAACTGCTAAGAACACTCACGTCTTTGACAAGATTTTTCAACAATGTCTATTTTAACAAGACAGCAAATGCCAAAATTTGCATCATATAACTACAGTTAATTATATCTACTTTTCCTAGTGTTTTAACTGACCATCTTAGCATAACACATTTCCCAGAGAACTGGGAATTGCAGGACTCTTCTATTATAATCAAAAGTCATAAACTCTTTCCTTTACTGAACCTGTCAAAGCTGTCTGAGTTGCCTCTTGGCCATTCTCCCTCTTTCAGTGTACTTGGTAAAACAACACACTTTCTTCAACTTCAGGAATGGCTTCCCACTAGGCCTTACACTGAAAGGTCATAACAGAACAGTTTTGTAACTTCTGTAAATAAAAACTTATGACTGTGCAGCCAAACAGATGGAAATAGCACGAATATGATCAGAAATGCCTGTTCAAGTGGAGCTCCCAACAAATGCTTAACTTCTGGGTATCAACTGTAGTAAAGTCAGTCACTATGCCAAAGTCATTGTACTTACTGAGCAAACAGAATTTGTGTCATCACAATTGATTTCATAATACAGATTATTTTTCACCTTCAGACATGCTTGTGACTTTCCAAAACTAAGACTGCCAGTTACCCAAGTGCAATACTACAGTGATAAGTGAAAGCAGACCTCTATAGCTTTAACAATAACAATACTCTCACTTCACATGCAACCTGAAATGATTCTTACAAGGTTTTTCACCCCACCATAAAAAAAAGCAGGTGTGGAAGTCAGGAGCAGACTTTTCACCACTGCAAAAATTCACCAGAGAATGGGGCTGTGGCATCTCGATAGAGTCCAGAGGTCAAGCTAAGACTACATAGCAAGAACAATTCACTTCATTGCCTAATACAAGCAGCACTGTATGCAAGCACGGACCATGCTGAAAGCAAAGCATGATATTAACTTGTAGGACAATAATAATTTTAAAAGCACAAGGTAAGGAGTTTGAACATTTTGCCCATTATTTTTCTAGAAGGCACAACTACTGTTGGGCCTGTGAGTTCAGGACAAGGCCTTCTAATTTTGGAATAACTTAAAAATTCTAAGTGACGCTCCTTCTAACCATCAAATGGTGATCTAAAAAAGTCCGATTGACCAGAATCCCTCTTCTTGCCCTGCCTGTTAAGAAGTAATTTTCCCTTTTAATATCCTTTCAGCTGGAGAAGCTATCAGAAACTGTCAGAGCTATTAGAAACACCTGCAGAAACCACTGACAGAAACAGCTACAAAAACCGCTTGGTGCTGACAAAAAGCACCAAGACAAGGAAACACCGAGGTGTAACAAGGCAACGAAAACAGGATAACCCCAGATACGCCCCGTTCACCTTGACAAAGAGGACAGCTCGTAGAGGACCCACAGCTGACACATGGCACTCTTTGGTGGCCTCTGGCCTCCAGAAGAGCTGTATGAAGACATCCAACCTCTGCCGGGGTGAGGAGTGGAACACGGAGGTGGGACTGGGGAAGAGCAAACCCCCTCGACGCTTCCCGGGGGGAGAAGGCAGGGAAGAAGCGGAGCCGGGGGAGGACTGTGCGCCCTCCCCGGAGCGGGGCCGCGTTTTTTTCTTCCCGTCCCCCATTCCCACCTGTCTTCTTCTGCATGTTGTCCCTCAGCAGGTCGCCGCTGGAGAGGTGCTTCACCCCGAAGTGC